TATTTTCAAAAGTCATGATATGGAAGCCATTAACGGGAACTTGAAGCTAGCTGGAGCTGCCATTTCACATTCTTAATTTCAAATATATATATATAAAAAAGAAAAATGATTACCACATTTTTGGTTCAATACATTGGTCAATATTTATTGGTTCAATTATTAAAATTTATAATTAAATTTTTTTATTAAATTTAAATTTAAAAACACTAATTTTTTAATAAACATATTATAAAATATATTAAATTAGACAATATATCAATCAATATCTATAAGGTTAATATAAGATGTGCCATTAAAATAAAATGTAAGGCAAACTAACAACAAAATATACTAACTTTGCAAGCAAAAACAAAAGGAACATCATCAACTCCTTCTTATACTATTCCAGTCAATGAAACACCATACACATGGTAACACGATTAAAAGGGTTCAATAAACAAGAAAATTAATAGAAAGTTTATAGGATAAATTCGTAATAACATAATTAATTAATCAATAATTAATGTTTCAAATTCAACTCCTTAGGAACCCATCTAGCTTGCTGGTTTGTCGCTGGTGTGTGGATTCTCTGCATTAGCCTCCTTGTTTGGAGCCCGATTCCTCCCCCTACATATGCTTTAATTTTCCTCGATTTTTGCGTTTATAAATATTTTCCTTACTCTGTATAATCCCCTTTAGGTTATTTAAACCCCACACCACACTTATAACCACCAACATTACAGCTCAACATGATCCGAAACCCTTAGTCCTGATGATCTTTCCCACGTGTCCCCCTCCTGCCATGTCGGATTACAAACTATTCTACCTCAGATAATTGCTTCTAACCTCCCTCGAATACTAATAGTCAGCTTGAGTTACCATTAATGGTAGTATATTATTTAATTTGAGGGAAGAAGGGAAGATGAGTGAACATTTTTCTTTATGTTTTTTTAGTCAACAATAGAATTTTCATTTCATTAGTAAAAAGCTTTAAAAGAAAGGAGACGAAAAGATATAGTATTCTTTTATTTTTCTCACTTTTGTTCCCCTAAATTACCTGTAAGCCGAGTATAAATAATTTTAAGATGTCTCAATTGTCATTTTAAAAATAAAGTTTTATTTTACATTTATGGACATATTATTTTTAATTAAATTTTTAATTTGTGTTTTTAATTAAGGTAGAGTTTAAGAGTATATTTTTATCATAAATATATACAAAAAATATATAAATTGATATTAATTTTAATGTAAATATAAAGTGATTAATTTAAAATTGAATCGCATCAAATTTTACAAAGAAAAAACTTTCTAAACGTCTATTTCTCCATTTATAACATTTGAACTTGAAATTTTATTTAAGGGTAATTAAGTTATTTTTATCTAAACTAG